ATAGATAGATAGATAGATAGATAGATAGATAGATAGATAGATAGATAGATAGATAGATAGATAGATGATAGAGACACAGACAGTTAGATGGATGGTCACAGAGAGACACACACAGGCATTGAAAGGAAGACAGAGAGTCACAGAAAGGAAAAGAGAGAGGGAAGTGAAAATGGTCACAGAGAGATACACAAACGGACAGACAGATGGATGGATAGATGAATGGATGTACAGACAGACAGATAGAGACAGACAGACAGATAGATGGTCACAGAGAGATAGACAGACAGACAGACAGCTATGAGCCATTACCATCAGCTTAGTATTTGTACCTGGATCTCAAACCTTGAGCTCTTGGTTTCTAAGAATTTTTCCTCTAGAAGAGAAAAACTTATTTTTTCAGTTTATTCAATAATTATTTATTAAGTGCCTATTATGTGCCTGGCATTATGCTAATCAGTGGGACTCTGGAGTTTAAAAAAAAAACAGTCCCTAACCTCAAAGAGCTTACATTCTATTGCTTGGGGAAGTGTTCAAGTGGAAAATTAAATACAAATTGTGTCCAAAGTAATTTTTGAGGAGAAGGTACTAGCAACTTGGGAAATCAAAATAGGCTCCTAATAGGAGGTGGCGCATGAACTGAGTTTTTCGGGAAGCTCGGGATTCTAGGAGGCAGAAGTGAGGTGAGCATGTCTTCTAGGCATGAGGAATAGCTTGTGCCTGGGCTCCAAAATGGTAGGTGGAGTATCACGTACAGGGACCCCAAGCAGGTTGGTTTGGCTGAAACAAGTGCATAAGGAGGGAAACATGCAATAGGACTAGAAAAGCATATTGAAGACGGATTATGACGGTCATTCAAAGCCAGAGAAGTTCATATTTTATCCTTGAATTAATAGGAGGCCATTGGAGCTTCTTAAAAAGGAATGTGAAGTAGAACCTTCCTTTCTAAATGAGGGAAGAGGGAGAGACTTGGAATTCAAAATTTTTAAAAATGAATACTAAAAATTGTTTTTACAAGTAATTTTACAAGTAATGAAATATTAAAGAAAAAAGTAGAAAAACAAAAAAGAAAAGGAGTGTGACACGGTCAGATTTGTGGTTTAATGATATCATGTCAACAACTATCTGGAGACTGGATTGAGAAGGAGAATGAGTAGAGACTAGGCAACCAGTTAGTTCAGGTGATAGGCAAAAGTTGCAGAGGGTAAGGTAGAATTGAGAAGGCTTGGCAACTGTTTTGGATGTGAGAGGCAAGATGAGGCAGAGAGAAGAATCAAGGATAATTCCAAGGTTGGGAAGCTGGAAAACCAGAAGGCCAGTGATGCCCCCCGTAGAAATTGGGAGGTTTGGACAAGAGGAGGGTTTTTGAGGAAATAAACATTTTCAGATGCTGTGAAAAAGTCAAGAAGGAAAAGAATTGAGAAAAGTCCATTGGAAATTAATAAATCATTGGTCTTCTTAGAGAGGTTGAGAAAGGTCCATTAGAAATTAATGAATCATTGGTCTTCTTAGAGAGGTTGAGAAAGGTCCATTAGAAATTAATGAATCATTGGTCTTCTTAGAG